AGCCAAAATATGACCTTGATTATATCCCTCCCAAATTTAGAGACCATCTAAAGAATAGATTTGATGCATTGAACATCAGTGACCGAAAACGAGAATAATTGTGGAATGACATCAAGAACATCATCCATGAAGAAAGCAAGAGGTCATTAAAAAGACGACAAAGGAAGAAAAGACCAAAGTGTGTGTCAGAAGAGACTCTGAAACTTGCCCTTGAGGGGACAGTAGCTAAGGAAAATGGAAGAAATGACAAGATCAAAGAGCTGAACAGAAGATTTCAAAGAGCAGCTCAAGAAGGTAAAGTCAATTATTATTCTGAAATGTGCAAAGACCTGGAGTTAGAAAACCAAAAGGGAAGAGAACATGTTCAGCATTTCTCAAGCTGAAAGAACAGAAGAAAAAAATTAAGCCTAGAGCTGCAATAATTGAAAGATTCTATGGGAAATACATTGAATTATGTAGCAAACATCAAAAAAAGATGGAAGGAATACACCGAGTCACTATACCAAAAAGAATTGGTTGATGTTCATCCATTTCAGGAGGTAGCATATGATCAAGAACCAATGGTATTGAAGGAAGAAGTTGAAGCTGCACTGAAGGAATTGGTGAAAAACAAGGCTCCAGGAATTGACGGAATACGCATTGATATGTTTCAACAAATGGATGCCACTTGGCTATGCTAAGAGATTTGGAAGACAGCTACCTGGCCAACTGACTGGAAGAGATCCATATTTGTACCCATTCCAAAAAAAGGTGATCCCACAGAATGTGGAAATTATTGAACAATATCATTAGTATAGTACACAAGTAAAGTGTTATCAAAGATAATTCAAAAACAGTTGCAGCAGTATATTGACAGAGAACTCAGAAATACAAGCTGGATTCAGAAGAGGACGTGGAACGAAGGATATTATTGCTGATGTCAGATGGATCTTGGCTAAAAGCAAAGAATTACAGAAAGATGTTTACTTGTGCTTCATTGACTGTGAAGAAGCATTTGATTGTGTGGATCATACTAAATTATGGATAACATTGAGAAAAATTGGAATTCTGCAACACTCAATTGTACTCATGAGGAACATAGACCAGGAGGCTGTTGTTGGAACAGAGCAAGGGGGTACTGCATGGTTTAAAATCAGGAAGGGAGTGCGTTAGGGTTGTATCCTCTCACTATACTTACTCAATCTGTATGCTGAGCAAATAATCTGAAAATATGTATATATGAAGAAGAACGTGGCATCAAGATTGGAGGATCACTCATTAACAACCTGCAATACACAGATGACACAACTTTGCTTGCTGAAAGTGAGGATGACTTGAAACACTTACTGATTAAGATTGAAGAGTGCAGTGTGCCATATGGATTATACCTTGATATAAAGAAAACAAAACATATCTGATCTATATGATGCATATAGAACTCTGTTTCTAACAGATAATACATACTCTTCAAATCTGCATGAAGATTTTCAAAGAGGAAAAAGCAAGCAAGCTGATTAGCTGAGTACAGAAGGCTAAATACAGTTGTTGTCAGACAAACCAGGTTCACTGATCACTATGACATAAACTTAGACAGTAAAGTGAATGACAAATGGACTATTTACTACTGTTGTAACACTATACTTCCAATTTCCCTTGGTTGATTCTGACCCATGGTAACCTCATATGTGTCAGAGTAGAGCTGTGCTCCACAGGGTTTCAGTGGCTGATTTTTAGGAGATAGATTACTGGACCTTTCTGCCACAGCACCTCTGGGTGGACTCAAGCCTCCAACCTTTCAGTTAGCAGTCGAGTGTGTTAACTGCACCAACCTGGGGCTTCAACACACTATGCATAAGAAGAACTATATAATGGAAGGAAATGCACACAGCTGTTAACAGCAGACGTTTCAACATGTTGGATTTTTGAATGACTACTTTCTCTTCCTTTTTCTATAATAAAGAAGATTATGATGTTATTGATTGCAGTTAGAGACAATTTTTTTAAAAAAAGTTTATCCATAACTTTGACATGATGAACTAGATTGATATTTCATATCAGTTGATTTTAACATTTTGCATCATTTGTTAGAAGAATAATTACTTTAGGTAAGTATACAAAAGCATGTGTCTCCTGAAATTTAAACCAGAATTAATGTTACAAGGGAATATGTTAGAAAGGTTTTATTTATTTAGGTGATATAAAAGTTTAAAAGCAGAGTCAAATGATTGTTTTATCTCTATAGTTTATCCCAAATAGAATATATCTCATAATAATAATAATGTTCTTTCTAAATCAAGAGAATGATTTACTTGGATTTCAATATATTGTTAAATATATATATATATATATATATACTCTTAATTTTAAAATATAATTTATTTGTAGTTGTGTTGTTGAGAATATGCAAAGCAAAATATACAACAGTTGAACAGTTTCTACATGTACAGTTCAATGTCACTGATTCCATTCTTCAAGTTGTACAACCATTCTCACTCTCCCTTTTTTGAGTTGTTCCTCCCCCATTAACATAAACTTACTGGCCCGAAATTTCCTATCTGATCTTTCTAGTTGCCGTTCTTACTTCAATCCTATATAGATAGATCTTACAAGACCATAATGCTAAGACAGATACTCTTTACCAGTTAAGCTAAACTATTGCTTCGCTTTAAGGAGACTTCAGAGGGATATTTTTGGTTTAAAGTTTAAAGATTAAAGGGCAGTAGTTTTGGAGGTTCATCAGCCTCCAGAACCCTAGAAAATCAGGATTCTGCGTTTCTCACGTTTTGATCAGGATTCTTTTTTAGAATCTTTGATCAAAATGTCCAAAAATGGTAGCTGGACACTATCCAGTTCTAGATTCATGGCAAAGGAGGCAATTAGCCACGCATTCATTTTCTATTCTTATTCCTGATTCTCCCCCTTAGGCTGTTGCTCCAGGAACAGAGAGACCAATTGTTATGCGTTGAATGGATGTTTGCCAGCTTTTAAGGAACCAGGCCTTACACAGTGAACTAGGAGATGGAATTGAAAATAATAATAATAAAAAAACCTCCAAACTCACTGCCATCAAGTTGATTCAGACTCATAGCGATCCTTTAGGACAGAGTAGAACTGTGCCATAGGGTTTTCAAGGCTCTAAATCTTTAGGGAAGCAGACTGCTGCATCCTTCTTCCCTGGATTGTCTGGTATGTTCAAACCACCGGGCTTTTGCTTAGCAGTCAAATGCTAACTTAGGAGCTCCTTAGGAGGTGGAATAGAAGCACTAAACACATTATTAGGTCAATTAACTAGGATGCCCCATGAAACCATGACCCTAAACCTTCAAACCGAGGAACCAAATCTCATGAGGTGTTTAGTTTTATGTAAACAGCCTTAGCAGCTAGTCTTTTGGGTGTTATTGTTGTTGTAAATACTAATTCTTTTTAAAAAGCAATTTGAAACTTTCACAAATTTTGATAGTAACAGGTGTAGAAAATAGAACCTTATCAAAAATTTCCTACTTCACATGTATGTATGTTACAAAACTGTATCTTTTATACTAAGAACCCTGAACTTGCTTTTGAGTGAAGATACAATTTTCCATGAAAGTTATCATAAATCTTTCAATTCCTTATCAGACACTGCATTGCAGACATGAAGGTAACTGTAGAGAGACAAGAAATGAGACAGGAAAGGAGAGTGTGCCAAGTGTTTTATGTATTTTATTTTAATGGCATTTAATTTTCACAGTGGTGCTCAAAAGAAGACACTATATATTCATTTTATAAAAGTGGAAGATGAGATGAAAAGTGGTTAGATATCTTGGCAAGTTTCACACAATTTGTAGAACCCTGGTTCTGAAACTATGACCATGCAGTTTCCATTACTAGTAATTTATAGCAGCACATTTCTCTTATGTGATGTTTTCCTTAGTTCATCTTTCTTACTGACTGCACATTATTTTATTTTTAATATGAATATTTATTTTAATATTAATTAACATATTATCAGTGATCAAAACATAAACCACTCATGCGGGAAAAGAAAGCCCTTAAACATATGAAAAGTACTCAGCTCTATCTCTTCATAGTGAGGAAAATGCTCATCGGAACTGCAGTGGTGTTTCTCCCATTTTAGACTGGCAAAAGTCCAAAACCTTCAGAACACATTCTGTGGACAAACCTAGTAGGAAAAAACTTTTATATGTTGCTGGTAGAAGTGTAAAATTATACAGCTTCTATATAGGGGAATATGACAATGTGTATCAACACTATAGATGTTTTACCCTTTCACCTATAATCCCAGAAAATCAATCCCAGAAAAATACCTGCATGTATAATCTGGCATGTTATAAAGGTGGGTTTTTTTTTTTTTTTGAGCATTATTTATAATAGTAAAAGTTTGGAAACAATCTAATTGTCTATTAATGATAGAATGGTTAAACAGCCACATAATGGAATTCTATTCAGCTGTAAAGCAGAATGAAAATATCACCAAGCATTGCTATAGAAATATCTCCATTGATAAATTAAAAATTCAAGGGGTTGAATAATTTAAAAAAATAATTTAAAAATTTCCTGCTGTTTGTAAATAAGAATATCAATTCATATTTGTTTGAATTTGCATAAAGAACCTTTAGAATAAGTAAAAGCTAGTAACCTAGTAACACTTGGAAGGAAGATGGGGAAATCTACTTCCGTAGTGATACTGCCTGGGAAACCCAAGGAGGGGTTGCTATGAGTCGGGTGCGACTTGACGGCACATAACAACAACAACAATGTAGTAACAATAATTACTGATAGAGTATGGGATTAGGATTTGGATTGGGGACTGGGGAAAAAGATGAGAGAAAAAAGTCTTTTCTAATAATTTTCAGCCTTATTTTTTGTTCTAAATTCTCACATGCTTTTATGTAAAACAGAGAATGATTTTCTCAAATTGTGTGCTATCCTTTTTTTTGGAACAGAAAATTATGAACATACAGTACTTATTTTTTTTATTTTACATTAAAATAATAGCTTTTTAAAAATTCTATTTCTAGATCCATATTTATTCCCTTGGAATGACGTTGTATTGGGGGGCTGATCATGAAGTACCTCAGAGCCAAGTAAGTCAGGTTTTACATTTTTTACAGTTTTTACATTTGTAAAACTTTATATTTTTGCAAAGCTCTTGCACACATTTTTGTATGTTCTACAGCATACTGTCAGGTACACCAGCATCTCTATGCTGGTAATTCACATTAGGAACATCATATTTTCAGAATGAACTAATAATAAAATCCTGAAGAAATTATTTTTGAAATATTCTTAGGATTATAGCAATAATTACTCATGTTGTAACAAATTAGTCTGTGAAATATAGCTGGCCCTTTAAAGATTATAGCAATGGAAATGGGAGTGTAGTTTATTTCTTCTAATTTAATTACTGATAAAAGGTATTATAAATATCTTTGATAATTCATTCTTGTACTGAATGAATACCTTTTTTTGGTACAAAAACGTTAGGAATGTTATCTCTTTGTTGCTGAGTACAGTATAAAAGAACTTTGTCTCTTGTCACTTCAAAATCATACTTAACTACCCCATGAAGCAGCAGGTACAAATATTAAATTAACATTCTTTGAAGTCCTAGGCTCTGGTGACCACTGGGCTGCATCTAGTCTCTATCAATAATTTGTTGCATTTAATCTTCTAAAATAATTCTGATTCCTAAAGATTCAATATAGACAGTTGTTGTTGTTGTTGTTAAGTGCCGTCGAGTCGTTTCCGACTCATAGCGACCCCATGCACAGCAGAACGAAACACTGCCCGATCCCGCGCCAGCTGCACAATCCCTGCTATACTTGAGCCCATCATCGCAGCCACCGTATCAATCCATCTCCTTGAAGACCTCCCCCTCTTTCGTGGACCCTCCACCCTACCAAGCATGACATCCTTCTCCAGGGAATGGTCCCTTCTTACAACATGACCAAAATAGGTGAGACGAAGTCTGGCCATTCTTGCTTCCAAGGAGCATTCTGGCTGCACTTCCTCCAGGACAGATCTGTTAGTTTCTTTAGCAGTCCACGGTACTTTCAGCATTCTTCGCCAGCACCACAACTCAAAAGCATCAACTCTTCTTCGGTCTTCCTTATTCATTGTCCAGCTCTCACATGCATACCAGGCGATTGGAAATATCATGGCTTGTGTCAGGCGCACCTTAGTCCTCAAGGAGATATCCTTGCTCCTCAGCACTTGAAACAGTTCCTTTGCATTGACTTTCCCAATGCTACACGTCGTCTAATGTCCTGACTGCTGCTTCCGTTGGCATCGATTGTAGAACCAAGCAACGTGAATTCCTTGACAACCTCACAATCTTCTCTCCATTTATTGTGATGCTGCTCATTGGTCCAGTTGTGAGGATTTTTGTTTTCTTTATGTTGAGATGTAATCCATACTGCAGACTGTATTCTTCAACCTTAAACAGTAGAAAATAGTAATTGAAAATAGAAAAATAACTATATTAAAGCAAATATATAACATACAGGATTAGGTTTTATTTGACATTTAGAATCACAAACTAAAATAATCAGGTTATTTTCTATGTTGGGTATATTTTTATTAAATTTAAGAAGTCACAAGCATAAGCATTTGAGTTATTTATTCTAAAATTTAAACATCTTAAAATCCATGAAAGATGAATGGTATTCTTGGATTTGGTTTGGTCTTACTTTACATCATAAAAAAATACTGAATATTTTTTTTTCTCTCCTTTGTTTCAATTCTATAAATATAAAGGGGAAAGTTAAATTATTAGAAATATAAGTGTCAAATATATTATGCAGCCTAACTACATGTAAAATGTAAACGCAGCCTATAATTAACATTTATATTTTCTAGTAACTGGAAAGAAATTCAGTATAAATAATATCTAATTTGAAGGGGAAATATAAATGTTTACTTATATTTTGAGATCAAAAATGATAATCATTTTGGAAGTAGTTAATATTAATTAAAAACTACTTAGTAAGAACCTGCCTTGTGACAGTCACTGTACTAGTCATTTGGAATATAATGGGCTATGCTTGTGGAGTCATTGGAGCAGCAACTAAATAGCTAATTGCAATATAATGTGATGAATACATTTCTTTATCATACCAAAAAGGCGGAGCTTTTCTAAAATACTCCCCATATTGGGAACCTTATGCTAACCAAACCAAAAACCAAACTCTCTGCCATCCATTCGATTCCCCTTTGGGTTTCTGAGGCAGTATATCTTTACAGAAATAGAATGCCCAGTCTTCTTTCCATGAAGTGGCTAGTGGATTCGAACCGCCAAGCTTCTGGTTAGCAGTCAAATGTCTTAGGCAGTACACCACCACAGCTCCTTTATGCTAACCATCTCCAGCAAATAATTCTTTTGGACCACAAAAGTGTAAAATATATATGCTACTGGATGAAGAATTCATTTCCTCCAAATGGTTGAAGTATGTTTGGTGTGGTTCTTGTGATTGTTGGAATGGCCTGTCTCATGTTAGATAAGCAGATTTACTCACATTTTTCAAAATGACTTTTCCTTTCTTTATATTCAGCCTATCAAGCTTGGAGATCATCTCAACAGCATATTGCTTGGAATGTGTGAGGATGTTATTTATGCTCGGGTTTCTGTTCGGACTGTCCTGGATGCTTGCAGTGCCCACATTAGGAATAGCAATTGTGCACCTTCGTTTTCCTATGTGAAGCAGTTGGTAAAACTGGTTCTGGGAAATCTTCCTGGGGTAAGCTACAGTTCGAGCTGGTAAATATAAGTGTAATTTAAAATTCAGTTACTGTATTGCAAAGATACTGTATCTATAGGTAGCAGAAGACTTTTGAGTTTTCAAACTCAAAAGGAGTTTGAATTTCTTGTTCTAATATTGTTTGTTTAAAATGGTACTTAAAATTTAGAAGCCCATTGTGATAACTTAGTTTCCTAGATCTTATGTGTGTTAGTCTTTTTCAGAATTTTATGCCTGAAAATACCATAGAATCTTGGGATGTTACAGCTGGAAATGTCTGCTCTTGCATCCTTTCTTACATCATTTACATCTTTCCCTAAGGAGCTTTTGACATGTGGCTCTATCTGTCTTGAACACTTTGAGTAAAATTCATTGAGATGCAAAATAGGTTTTGAAAATATTTAAATATACTTTCTGTTACTTGATACTTTTCTTTGGATCACTCATTTATCTGGATCCCTTTATATTCCCCAACCATGCCCACCTTCTTTGAGCACTGGAACCTGTTATATAGGGAAACATGTTTGAATCCCCACCAAATTGCCTAAGACCTGAATTCTTTCACATTTTCCATTGCTTAAGATATGAAGAATCCCAAGAACAAAATTCTGTATCTAATAGTTCTAGCTCTGCTCTGCATTTCTTCAACTGTATTCTATCTTATTTACCCTTATTGTTTTTTGATATCTGACCTAGCTCTAACTGTCCTTAATAGAGGTATGGTCCATGTATGATAGTCTCTCTCTCCTTTTATGTGTGGATTACAGATTTGTCACTGGTACACAGTATTGCTGGTTTCCTCTTAATTCTTCATCTCTGGTGTCTTAATCAAGATGTTTTATGGCTGGGAGTAGTATAGCCAAACTCGTATGTGCCTGTTGTTGTTGTTATGTGCCGTCGAGTCGGCCCCGACTCATAGTGACCCCTCCTTGGGTTTCCGAGGCAATATCACTACAGAAGTAGGATTGCCCAACCTTCCTTCCAAGGAGTGGCTGGGGGGTTTGAACCGCCAGCCTTCTGGTTAGCAGTCAAGTGCTTTTAGCCACTGTGCTACCAGAGCTAGTCACTTGATAAGAAACAGATCTTAGATATCTTACAGACAGATGGGCTGTAAAAACTACACACCATCAAGTCTTTAAGGTTTAGTAGTGGAGGAGAACGTAGGTAGTATAGGTTGAATGAATGAGTTTCTTGACTACCCATTTCCCTATCTTAACTAAAGCTGCTCTTATTTTATTCGATTAATTTGTTTATATTTCTGTTTTGATTAAAAAAAAAAAAAAAAAGGAAAACTAGTAAAGAAATCTATGAAAATCTTCTACCTTGACCAAAGTTTCCCACATACTTTTAAATATCTTTTTGTTAAAAAACATTCCCCTATGATCACATAATTAGGAGCTCTGGTGGCACAGTGCTTAAGGCATTTGACTACTAACCAGAAGGTTGGCAGTTCAAACCTATCAGCTGCTCCACAGAAAGAAGATGAGGCAATCTACTTTCATAAATATTTACTGCCTTGGAAACCCAATGGGGGGTCACTGTGAGTCGGAATCAACTCGATAGCATTGATTTTTTTTTTGTAATGATCAAATAAGTTTGAGATGAAAGTACTTACAGAAAGTGAACTATATTTTCAACTACAGAACTTAGAAGAGCTCTTGAAACACTAGTCTGTATTACTACTCTTTAAGTGAGATAGGTATGTAGATGACACATTTTCTAATTTACTCATCATCAAAGATCTTTTTCACAGATATCACAACAGTAGTAGTCTATAAAACTACCATTGACAAATGTTCATGTGTACTAACTTCTTCACTTTATAGATGAGGAAACTAAGACCCAAATAGCTTGTAGGATTGAAATTTCCTATTAATTTCTCCAGGAATCTTTCTATTACACTGTACTTCCTTTGCAACATCTGTTTTGTTTGCTCATTTTATTCCAATAATGAAATTGCTGTAAGTTTCCTTTCCTCTGTCATGAAGAAGGAACTTTCTATGAAATTCCATTATTCATCTAGTATGTGCTTACGCTAAATAAATTATCTCTATCCCTTTAAGATCTAGCATTTAGTTCAGTTTATTACAACTGACATTTATTGACTATCTGTTGACATTTGCTTAATTAAAAATGCAAATGAGACTAATTGAAAGTAATAGTAAAGCTTTTAAAAGCTATGAAAATTTGAGGGGAAAGGATACAAGTTTTGACTTTGTTGAAAAGTAGCACTTTGAGGTTGATTTTGTAGGCTAGAGAAAATGAGTATTCTAGGCAGAGAGAGGCAATCTGGGATAAGTGCAGTGAAATGAGAAATTAGGGTAAATTTGGGAAATAGTAATTAGTCTGGTTTGGGATGTGTTGTGTTGTGTGGTTGTTTATAGGGAGAGAAGAATACCAGAAACAGTTGGAATCAGAATGTAGAGACCTTTTCTACACAGACACATATTTATATAAGCATAGTAATAAAATATTTTTAGTTAAATACAGTAAGTATAGTAATGGTTGTAGTGCTCTTCGTAGTCTCCTGGACATCACTGGACAGAAGTTACTCCAGTAGCTACCATTTTTTATATGTTTTGTCACATACAGTGCTGAGTAGCTTACATGTTTATCTCATTTATTCATCTTACGACTTCAGGTTAAAAGTAGTAATTTTATCCTCATCTTAGAGAGGATGAAACTAAGGCTTGTGTTGTTTGTTGTTGTTATGTGCTGTCAAGTCAGACCTGACTCATAG